GATAAATTAATTCACCCATTACAGCCTTTATTTACAGTAAAAATATAATGTAACCCAAAAAAGTGGGAAAAAATGTTATAGGTTATGATTATTTGAATTCTTTTTTTTAGGGGGGTGTATGCGATTAAGTCCATAATCGTTTGGCAGTTTAAATATATTTGGCATCTTTAAATAAATAAACAGACACAAGAAAAGCGCTCAAAGGTTGATTATGTTAATACTGCAAAATTGTATATTAAATCAATAAACACTATTAGGATTGGGAACTAAAAATGATATAACTTTAAAGCTATGAGAGATACGACCTAATTTGTCGTGTGAATTTCTAAAATTTTTGAAGATACAAGTTTTTATAGTCCTCACCACCTTAAGTTGAGGCAGCCAAAGGCCGCACGGCGCATATATAGTGCGGCCTTTGGCTGCCTCAACTTAGGATGGCGAGGACTATAAGTATTTTCCGGTGTTTGAAACCACAAACATTTTTAGTTCTGCCAAAGAAGGTAGTGTATATAATAGAATAAATACTGTAGATAGGAAATTGCTTGATATTATTTACATTCCAAATTAAACCCACATATTTTAAATTTATAAAATTATAAAATAAATATTGTATCAAATTCCATGTTAACTAAAATGTTCGATTGATATTACGAAAATGTAAAATCACCTAGGTAACAACAATGATTGATTACACTTTTGTCTTACTGTTCTATTTAGAATTGTTATTTGAGAAGATACTATACAACAAATAACACGTTAAATATATAACAGATAAATAACACGTTGGGACATATTGCATGTTGTACAGTATTTAAAATCAAAATTTACATAAAGCTGGTAATGACTGGGACATGAATTATTGTAGATATTTATAGGCATGCACTGTGGATGCAATACTCCCTGTTGTAAAATAATGTCCGCACTAGTGAGTACTACGACTATCCGCAGTACTATCCTGATAATTATAACAATCCGTTAATTACAAGGCTAAAATGTGGTTCGGATTCCATTATAAACTGTAGGTCCCTTAGTTGCCATTGGCTGTATGGGCTGTGTCTAAGGAACATGTTGGCCTTAGTCGCGAACAATACTACAAGATCATCTCCATTCATACTTGGCTTAAAATACTTACATGTATATGGTCACCATTTTAAAGTTAAGTATTAAAGTATTAATGCTGACTATAGCATTTATTTTATTTTTTTAATGAGTTTCTTTATACAATTGGAGACCAAATTTGCATAGCCAATGAATCGTAAAACATTTAAATCGCACAGTTAACATCAAGAGAAACCCTTGTATGTAAATTAGAACAATTCAACCTTCCCAGTTGAGTTAGTGCCAAGTGTATTTTATTATTCCACGAATCGCAGTGTAGTCTATGGAAAGACTTGCAAACGATTACACTGTTTAAGGATTTTTTATTATTTAAAACCTTTGTTCTGCAATTAATTAATAATGTTTTATGAAATAACAGTGCTGAATACAATTTTTTTGTTTTTTTTGTTTTTGTATTAACTAAAAGTGGGAATTTTGGCTTATAAGATTTGTTTGGTAAAGCCAATTTTGGAACTAAAGTAATAAAACATGTTACTTGAAAATCATCAGAATTTATGGTTTTACTAGTATTTTCCTTACTACCGTATCTCGTATTTGATTTCCAAGGATATATGAAATATTTTTCAAACTGAATTTGATTGTATACTGTTTAGTTTGCTATGAGTTGTAACATTCCAATTAATTTTAATGTGTTAGAAAGTCTTTGACAGGTTATCGTTCTACTAAAACTAAATGTAATTTTTTTTAATGTAGATTTGGCTTAGCTGAACCAAACTAAATATTAAGAACACATTAACCACATTTGGAGTAGCCTACTTCAAGTATCATGTTTGACAAGGGTGTTTTCCTGCAATTTTGTTAATCCATTAGTATTTTACGTGATTTCATTTGCGAGTGAGATTCAAAGGAAGATCAAAACCAAACTAAACACTCTTTTATAAAACATTCTGTTACTACTGCAAGAAAAACCTCTTAAAAGGAATTTTTTAAGTGTTTCCATGGTTTTATTTATTATTTCATACTTTTCATCAATGACTTTGGTTATTGCTTATTATTAAAGTTAACATTAAATATATTCGCGTGAAATAATATGGATTGCGTGTAAAGATATACCATGCGTTTGTATGTATGTAGGGACTCGTACGTAACTGCCTAACCTCGTAAATTAAAAAAAAAAACATACTAAATTTAAGTCCCCCCCCCTACGGTTATGCCCACTTTCGTTAAAAACATTTTTCTAAACAATATAATTCAGTTTTCTCAAACGTAAACTCATAAATTACTCAGACAAGTGGAAAGAAGAGAAGACATGTTCATTGTTCAGCCTAACCTCATCACAACTGTCACATAACTTTGAAGTTTGTTAAAAACAATGCTTCGTCTCCCAGTTATAATTTATTTTTTTTATCCACACGCTTGCTAAATATATCATCTCAACAATATTAAAAAAAATATTTGAACGTTGAGACTCCACTTACAGTTGTGGTTAACTATAAGCTATAAGTAAACTCTAGTTTTAATATGATCTGTGTACAAAGACACTTTGGTATTGTCTCAATCCCTGTTTGCATTGAACGACATCCAGTAATACTAGTAATTTTATGTTCAGGTGTTCTCGTGTTTTTTTATTATATGTGCGAAACATTAGCAGCTGTGCTTCATCTATTTAAATGTATTCCACTCTGGGAAAATAGTATGAAAAATGTATGAAAAATATTTATAAATACCGGTACCTGGGTGTTTTAAAATGAATAGCCGGGTTTTAACGCTTTACAAATGTTATCTATTAAACTTACCGCTACAAAATACGCATGAAATAAAAAAAGCAACTTAAAGAGTTTATGCCTTACATCGACACATTATTTAACAAAATCGATCCAGCTAAACTGTATATTTAATTGTACAAAGTTAAAAAGTAATCTCGAACTTTTTTCACCACTAGACATTCTGAGTTTGCTTGACGTTTTTGAAAATAACTTTTAAATGCTAAGGAATTCGACCAAAGTGGAAGTTATTATTCCGAAAGAGAATAATATTTACTATAATTTGCCATTATGCATTTCTTGAAAATAATCAATAATAGTACCAAAAATTGCCTCAAAATTAAATAAATTTGAAAATCCCCGTCTTTAATGAAGACAATAGACTTAAGCAAACATTAAATTTCAATTTTTTTTATTTTGAGCCAAATTTTTGCTACATTTATTGAATAATAGTAAATTGTAGGAAATTGTATTCTCTTTCGGAAAATTACCTTCCACCTTGGTCAAATTCCTCGCCATTTTAAAGGTTATTTGCAAAAACGTCAAGCAACCTCAAAATTTCTAGGGGTGAAACAAGTTTAAGATTACTTTTTAAACTTGTACAATTAAATCTACAGTTCTGCTGGATCGATTTTGTTAAATAATTTGTCTTTGGGTGGCATAAAATCTTTGAGTTGCTTCTTCATTTGATGTGTATTTTAAATAGCGATACGTTTAATAGCATAAAAGTTATAAAGCGTTGAAACCCGGCTATGTATTTTGAAATAACCGGTATTCATAGTATAGCAAACATCACCAGGCCAAGGAGGCATGTATATTGGACACAAAATACATCATCACCATTTGTATGTAAATTTACAGATGCTTCTTACACTAGTCATATGGAGAAAAGCCAGCGTTCATTTCAAAGTATTAAACTTAACTTAAACTTTGTTAGGGCGCACAATCAAAAAACGTATGAAGAAACACACACCAAGGATTAAGGATACAGTACATAAATAATATTGTTTATGGAAAGAAGGTGAAAATATTTTAAGCTATTTTTTTCTCCGATTTGTGTAAATGCATGTACAAAGTTTCCTTTTAGCGAATTTCCCTATAGGGAAGTAGCTATTACCGTAGGTCTCATGGTAAGACTTATGCCCGGGACCGATTTACTTTTTCATTTTGATGTCCCCAGAGGCCAAAAACACCATTCGTTCAAATTTTTATATATGTATATATATATATATATATATATAGATTTATATATATATGTGTCCGTGAACACGATAACTTGAGTAATTTTTATCCGATTTTGATGAAATTTGGTTTGAAGGTGTAAGGCGGGATAAACTTGAATGAGTTCGCGATCCAGCATGATCGGACCATGGGAACAGTATTTTATGGGGGGTTTTATGGGGTAAAAATTGGTTTTTCTCACTTTTGACCCTCAAAACACAAAATTTTCCAATTTTTCTCTAAACCTTCTTAAAGAGCTTAAAAAAAAAAAACAATTCAGTATATCAAAGTGTTTTTGTACGGTTATTGGTTACGGAGAAAACTAAAAAAAAATTAAATTTAAAATTCCCATGTTATTCTTATGGAGAATATTATAAAATGTTGTAGTTTGCTTGTTTATGGATATCTTTTGATCAAACTTGGCAAATATATTCATTTTATACTAAGCAATAATTATTTTACTTTAAACACACTATTTATTAGTTTCCTTGTTGCAGCAAACCTAGGTACTCGTTAAACCTAATGTTATTTAAATAGATCAATTGAAAATCAATTCAGCCAAATGGAAATTCGCTTAGACGGCAGGTTTGCTGCGGCGGGGGTATTTTTATATAAGGATGGCATTGCTACTATCATACAACTAAAACTCACAGTCTACGATCCAGGAAATCTTTAGACGATGAATGGAAATGCACACAGCATTCCAAGTAGAATTCAGTTGGTTATACCCGATTTTATTATGTTTCTGTATATAATGTTATGTGTTATGAGTTAAGTTTTGCTAACAGGTATTATAGTGTGTTTCGAGATACCTGCCTGCTACAGCCCACATTAGAATTAGTAAACTAATATTAACTTGTAATGAAAAACTGTTAAATTTGTAACTTTCTCAGCACCAATTAGATTTTTCCAGTTTACTTTATGAAAACAAACACAAAATATGAAGATCCTCTGTTTTTATAAAATGGAAGAAACTCAAGATGATTTTTTTTAACCACCAATGCGATCCAGAACCCTGCAGTAGCTCCAAAGCACCAAAAGTATGTAGAGTTTTGCAGCTGTAAAAATATCATGATTTTTAATTTTTTTAATAACGCCAACATTAAAAATTTTTTTTATTCATCATTTGTAAATTATGTACAGAGTTTTATAAAGAAAAAACTTATTGCAGTAAATTGATCCTTATTGTGACATACCTTGTTCACTCTCTGTTTATTAAGATATAACTTTTGAAATAACCTATACCTTACCATGTTTAGTAAACTAATAATTTAACCCTGAAACCTTTAATAGAAAATAAAAAAAATTGTAGTAAGGGTCTCTAGGCATTAGACATTCTTACTGATGTTAAGCTATAGTTTATTATTTTTAATCCCAACATAATATACTGAACCGCACATCGTCGATTGTTAAATAATCAGTTCAACCCTAAAGGAAAATTTGCTTATATAAAGTATAGCAAGTATTGTTCACTGACATATCTGTTTGAAACACACCTGTTCCTTTAGTAATGCGAAAATTGGCGAAATATGTATACAACTTCATTTTGAAACAACTTTATTTTTAAGGAAATTGATTGAAAAATATTTAAATGCAATAGAAAACACTCACCAATGAAGAAGATAACTCTGACAACCCGCATAATAGACGTATACTGTAGTGCAGAAGTCGCCACCATTACCATCAAAGATATGCTCCGAAATGTAACTATAGAAGTGCAAATCTTATAGCGCTCAGAGATGTTCTGCAACATTAAAAATTCTAACTAAAATCTAGAAAGAATAAATAATTTATTATTTTGTTCAAGTAATTGCTAAAACACTTTATCTACTTTGCATTATAATATAAAGCCTATTAAAGATGGATAGAGAATAATCTAAGGGTCTTTTACCAACACTAAATGTATGATAGTGAGTTCGTTATCAATAAAATGCTCCCGCAATATTCTTAAATGTTCAATTTTGATTTATCTTTCTTTGCTTATTACCGGATTATCTATATATATATATATATATACCAATGTATGTTTGTTTGTTTGTCCTTTATGGACTCCGAAACTGCTCGACAGATTGTAATGAAACTTTTAGGCATTATTAAACATTATTCAAGGATGGTTTTTGTGAAGTTTGGTGCAGATCAGTCAAAAGGGCTCCACCCCAGTGGCTCTAGAGTTTCCCATGTTAACCTTATGAGTACTCATATTTAAATAGAATTATAAAATCTTAACAGCTAGTTAAACTAAACAATATGATTCTGCGATGTTCAATAGCATTAAAAATTTAATAGGTTTACCAACAGGGTGCAGCACTATTATTTTTTTTTATTTATGACAACAGCTAATTTGCAACCAAAAGGTGAGTAAGCGTAGCGAACGAACTTCAACCAGGAGGCGAGTTAGCGTAGCGAACGAGCTAACCTGAAGGCAAGTGAGCGCAGCAAACGAGCTCCAAGCTAAAGGTGAGTAAGCGTAGCAAACGAACTTCAACCAGGACGTGATTGAGCCATGCGAACGAGCTCATCTTGAAAATGAACGAGCATTTGACATAAAACCACATTAGGACAGGACGACGTCTGTCGGGCCAGCTAGTCCTATATAAAAATGGTCTCAGCGAATAAGGGAGATTTCAATGTAATACAACTTTAAATCTAGACTTGAGAAAAAATAGTATAAGATCCATGCACATTTAAATCATAAATAATTCTTAGATTAGCCAGCTGGCACTGGTAGTACCTTGGGTATTTATTTTGCTACGTTCGTTGAATATTATTCTATCAATGTATATTACATAAATATCATATTTTATTAACTGTACATATAATAAATTATATTCCGTACTTACATCGTCGATGGCAGTGTAAGCAAGCAAACCAACAATCACCATCAATAAATGCTCTGATAGTGATCCCATAACTGCAAGTTAAACACATCGGTTTCACAAAACCATCAGTTACAACTTCATACTGAACAAATGCTAATTGTGTCGGTAATAATAAGTTTTGCTATTGTCTATATATCGACGACAACAGTACACTAAGACCTCTTTTAAAATAAAATACCCCCGTCGCAGCAAACCTGCATACTAAGCGAATTTCCATTTACCCAGCTTGATTTCTACTAAAATATTCTCTATAGATTTTCAGATTTATTTCCTATAACATTAATTTTAGTGAGTAGTTAGGTTTGCTGCTACGGGGAAGATGTTGAGGTGTGTTTTTTCAATTGAAGTATTGATAGCTTAGGATGAAATAAACCAAATTGCCAAATTTGATAAAAATATATCCATAAACAAGCAAACTAGAACAGTTTATTTATTCTCCATAAAAATAACATGGGAATTTTAAATTTACAATTTTTTAATTTTATCCTTAGTCAATGAACATTCAAAAACACTTCAATATACTAAATTATTTGTTTTTTAAGCTCTTCAAAATGGTCTAGAGAGAAATTTAGAAATTTAATGTTTTTAGGGTCAATAATGAGAAAAACCCATTTTTACCCCGTAAACCCCTGATCCCATGGTCCGATTATGCTGTTTCGCGAACTCGTTAGAATAAATGTAGGTTTACACGTTTGTACCAAATTTCATCAAAATCAGATCAATTTTGCTCGAGTTATCGCGCTAACGGACACATATATAATAAATATATATATATACATATATATATATATAAATATATATATATATATATATATGAATTTGAACGGATGGTGTTTTTGGCATCTGGGGACCTCAAAACGAAAAATGTAAATCGGTCCCGGGTCTAGGTCTTACCATGAGACCTACGGTAATAGCTTATTCCCTATATTCCCTATATGGGAAATTCGCTAAAATAGATAAAAAAGTTCTCTAGTAGTGGAAACAGTAAAGCAACTTACCAAATGGATTGGATAGTTTTACATCAGTGATATAAAAGTTAAATATTATGGAAGATAGTCTTGGTCTAGGCTCATTATTAATGGCATCTTCAGCATTAGTTTGGTCGACATTTTCCTGATTTCTGTTTTGCCGTGAAGCGTCGTCTCCACTCTCTGTACCACCTATAATCAAAATCGTTTTGCTGTATAAAAAAATACACTTTAATATATTTTCTAGTATTGGCTTATGTTTTTCAAACAGCTGATTACATGTTAATGTATATAAAATAAATGTTTTCACATATTTTTTTTTGTTTTGCCAACTTATACAATGTATGGCTGTAAGTAACTGATTTTTTTTATTATCTAGTATATCGAAAAGGTATTATATGCGAAGATTCACCTAAATCTATTTCGGTATGTTTTATCATAACCATTGACATTTGTTAAATTTGTTTAGAAGAATTTACTTACACATATTGGTAAAACTGCATTAATCAATATACACCATATTTTCGTATATATTTGCCCTAGTATATAGAAAACAATTATTCAGTGTCAAAATTATCAAACAAATTTTAACAAGATTTTTATGACGAAAATGACAAGTGACATCTTAATAATCCATTCTAATGTTTAATTTATATACTGTATCCACAGTTAAACTATTACAAAACTACTATGCAATTCAAAAAAAAAATACCAGAGAGAGAAGTTGCAGCTGTTCTATTCCGTAATAAAGTGCGTTGAAATGTTACAAATTTCTTTAAACAGGTCAAACTAAATACAAAGATCATCATGAAGCAGACTATGTTCCACACCTGTAAACAATGTTATTCCTATAAAATAGAAAAAAGGACATACAGAGATAATTTATAGATACTAAACAACATAGTATTAATATGTTTATGCAAAGTTTTCAATAGTGGTTTACGCAACGATTGCGGAAATATGTTAAGTACACGAGTAGAAAACTCAAACAAAAAAACTTCAACGAGTGCCATTAACACTATTTACGCGAGTTGCGTACACTACTTTACCTACGACAGTGTTTTAATAACTAAAACTCACTACCAAAAACTTCTGAGAGGTTACTTTTTCGTTTATAAAATCTCATTGCCACTGACAGTGATGTAACGAAACATTCTAACAAACACTAATTACACCACTCAACAATTAAATTGGCCTGAACAGCTCATTAGAAGTAATGCTGTTATAAAAGTAAATAATGCTGTTATGTGAAACTTTTCAATTCTAAGAACTGAACTGAAACAGCTACTTTACCAAACGGTCGTAGGTAAAATTATTTTACCTACGACCGTTATTTAAAGTAGCCGCTTCAGAACAGTTCTTAGAATTGAAAAGTATCTCATAACAGCATTGTTTACTTTCATAACAGCATAGTTTTACTCATAACAACACGGGTAACGGACCAAAGAGGTTCAAGGATTGAGAGAGGAGAAGCAAAATTGTAATGATTCGAAATGCAACTAATCAGCTTTTCATGAAAATTTAATTGTTGATTGGTGCAATTAGTGTTTGATACAATGTTTCGTTGCATCAGTGTCAGTGGCAATTAGAGGTTATAAACAAAAACATAACCTCTCTTAGAGTAGTGATTTTTAGTAATTAAAACACCGTCGTAGGTAAAGTAGTGTACGCAACTCGCATAAATAGTGTTAACGACATTCGTCAAAGTTTTTAAGGCACTCGCCAAGGCTCGTACCTTGAATTTTCTACTCGTTTCGTCAACACTATCTTTACATAATCGTTGCGTAAACTACTATTACGATTTTATTTCTATCATACTTTCATTAAACGTTTATAAAATATTCATAAGTGGATAGAAACTGTAAATGCACCATACAATTTACAAACTATTGAAACAAGTATCATACTTACAATTAAAAGCAAATATATAAACGACGTACAAGTTTCCAGTGGAATAATCCATAAACATTTATCAAGTAAAATTTGATCAATGAAAGGACTCGACGAGCTTTCATTGTACATTTTTGTTTGATCCTTATTGAAATTTAAAACCCAAGATAACAATTACCAACGTATAATTTACTCGTAAATTTTATTTGGGGCTTGAAATAATTAATTTTTGTTATTTTCAATACGGTTGCTTCGTAACCAGTAGTAAGAAATACTAATTGAAAAGGCGAATATTTGTGGAAACTCTGATGTGCATACGAATCAAGCTTGTCTAATAACTAGTATTATAACTCGGGGCTTCAGTATCCGTGGTCCCGGATCAAATAATGATTTTCATCACTAGTATTGTGATAACCACATATGTAATAACGCCACGGCCTTCTAGGCCTTGCATCAAGCAATGTATAAAACAGTTCTGGGTTTGAACCTAGCGTTTCAGGATGTAATGGTGAGTAATACTGACTATTTACATTTATATTTACAAAACTAATATTTAAATGAACATATACTTTTGTAATATTGAGTCCCTATTCAATGATTTCAACTTTTATTGTTTGAAGAGGCTCACTAACTATCTTATGTTACATGTATTTTAGAATAGCAATTTGTACATTTATTACTATGTAATTATGTAAGTAGTGTATGGCATTAGTTTTGTTCTAAGAAACTTACTCTAAATATTACAATGCTCATCTTAGTAAAAAAATATTGTTATTGAAACATCTAAATTTAATTGATATCGGATGCTCGCTTGAAATAAAACTAGACAAAGTGTGATATAACAGCAAAACTTGCTTTTTTTCTTCCCATAGTTTTTTTTTTATTTATTTTAAATGTTTAAACATATTATTATACGAAGTAAACATCACAAAATTGACATTACCAGCACCAAAAACCTAAACGAGATTTGGAAAGAGCATAAAATAATACATAGCAATATTCTGCTTGGACTGAAGAGAATATATAATAGTGGTGTTTTATGATTTTGTAGGTTTTTACTTAACGTACAGTAATATTTTCTGCCCTTTGGTGTGTTTTAATTTTTACCTTTGAGGGACTTTGATTGAACACAAACATGCACATACGAATTTAAAAGGGTTAGTGGTGAAACATATTTTTTTATTTACAAAAGAAACGACAATACTTTGACTATAATTTCCAGTGGACACTAAGAGTTGATAATAATTCTCTACAATAATGTTTTAGACATACTGCGCCGAGTAAATGTTATTTCAATTAATATAAATTGTCCGTCACTTAAAAAATTATCCTGTCTTCTATACGGAAACAGAGTGTAATATATGTGTTCTAGAGTGTAATCTGTATAACATTTATTAATTGCTCGTAAGTTTGTTGAGCTAAGCAAAAGATACACAATTTTTACGTACAAAACATTCCTTATAGTATAAATATACTTTTCATTCAGGTTCCTAAATTAATATACATTTTCTAACGATTGAAAATATGAAACTATTGAAATTGTTGGGATATATTGTTGGGATGTATACCTATTAATTACCTGTGAAGGGAAACAGTTTGTTAAGCAGTATTGATTTACTTATACTTAATATATTTCAGTGTTTCCATTAATTGACTTACTGTTTGTATTTAGTTTTAGTATTAAATAATAAAATGATGGCTTTAAAAAAAAAAATCTGGAACACACACAATCAGCTAAGGAATTAGATATTCTCAAAGTTGTGCAATAACCTGCCGCTATTACAGCTTCTAAACTGTACTTGAAACAGCTTCAAAGTCTCAAACCCATCATAAGGGGTATTTATAATCTTCGAATAACGTATTTACTTAATCATGACAAAGCTATTAAATCCTTTAAATGTAAACTAGTCTACTTTTATAGGCAGATTATATGATTTTAATGATATAGCAAAATTTAAAAAACTCTTTTGTATACTTATTATTTATACTCACGGTACAATTTAACTGACTTTACTAACAGTTGGAATTTTTTTTCAACTTATATCCGATAAAAAATATATTTTCTTAAAAATACAATAATTTGTAAACAATGGTTTATTATATCTAGGTCTTACTAAGTTTACTTTTTTAGAAATATATTGCATATATATATATATATATATATATATATATATATATATATATATATATATATATAAAGTATACATTGTTAAATATTTAGTTAAATTCATAGGAAAAACCAGAAAATTTAAGTTAGGGGCCAATTTTAACCACACAACGTTACAATATATCTAAAAATTTATTAAATTCAATAATTCATCCGACCTACTTAATAGAGTCAATCTTATTTAACTGTAACTTAAATCTGGTATTGGCTATGAATTTAAATATTGCTAAAATACTCATTCTTTACTCCTAATAAGTTTTACTACAGAGTCATGTGATTTTTGTATTTAGGCGTATTAATATGTGAGATATAAACTAATGTTGTTTACTATCGTCAATACATTGAACAGATATTACTTGCGTATTTGCTGACCAGCTTGTGTATTGTGTGAACAGACGCAATTATAATACGGTCAGTGATTATGAAGTTATAATGTTTGCATAAGGTAATACTGAGGTTATGTTTGTAAGGAAGATTTACTACTCATGCCCTGCTATGTTTATTCACCATATATAAAAAACCTTAGCATGAATTAATTTTGTCTTACATCACCTCAACATAATATACAACATAATAATGTGAAAATATAATGTTCATCTTCAGGTAATACTTATCTTTCAGAGATATATCACGTTAAATAACTTCATCGTTGTTCTCGTTGGAAGGTAAATTTTGAATGCACTATTTGTAATCACTTTTACATCTAAAGATAACACTAACCGATGTAATTCCAACTGGCTAATATTTAAAAGTGTAACTTATAAATTATTTAAAAGTAATTATTAAAAGTATTTAATCTCTTTGAATGGTTGACCTTTTAGCTCCTAAGTAAGCTTATAATTATTGGAAACATTCCCAATTTCGTGTGTGGTTTGTAATATGAATTACCGAGCATGTTGTCTGATTTGCGGTTTCAATTGATATGATACAAATCCTTTATTTTAACGGATTAACTTAGCTTCCAGCTAAATTTGAGGTATATATTTAATGGTTGTAGCTAATGGATTTGTTTACTAATCCTGTTTTAAATGCGTACACAATGTTGGTATAACCTTTAAAATAGTAATTTTCTACTAATAAATAATTTGCTTTCCTACATTTATTAAATAATTTATTTCTTGAGAGTAAAATAGTGGTTAAGTGTAACTTGAAGAACAATTGATATATTGAAGGAAACTGTTGAAGGAAAACTGTAAACGGAAGACATAAATCACTCTGTGGTTCTTAACCTTTGTTTTTACTAATTGTGCTCTTCAAGCACATTGGCTTAATTGAACCACTTACGAAGTAATTCGATTGAACAAAATTCCTAACCGTTGTGAAGTAAAATATTTAGTTTATTTATTAATAGTACCACGGGAAGGATAATTTATTATAAGGGTCAACCTTTTACTTATGTTCTTTGATTGGGGAGTGAGTTGGTGTAGTGGTTAAGAGCGCGGGACTTCAGTCCCCAAGGTCTGGGGTTCAAATCCCGCCAAGTCACCAATGGGTTTTATCTAAGTGATAATCCCGTGACCCCTAGGTCTAGCCTGAAGTAATGTGAAAAACAATCCCATTCTTGTGCCTAGCGTCCTAGGACAAAAAAAACCCCATTTTCCCTTATCCTTTGTTAAAATTGCACTGTTCATCTCACACTTCAAATTAATGCAATTATATACTGTACAATGTTAAATGGTTAACTTATTAGGACTGTATTAGCTGTTATTAGATATTAAAAGTAGGACCTTTCAAAATTAAAAAAAAATTCTTTAAATACGATTAAGT